AATTAACTTTGAAGGATATGAATGAAGAGGAGAATGATTGCTTGATGCCCCATGAAAAGGAGGAAGTTCCCAACACGGGGAAAACTAAAAAAGGCACAGAGATGAGCATGGAAGAAGACAGCCAGGGAATAATTAAGAAGGGGACTTGGCAGATTAGAAAGAGAGATGGATCGGGCAGGTGGATTCATATAGAACCTTCCATTACTGGTATCATCTCGACCTGAACTCCATTCTAATATGGTTTTTAAGTCCTGGCCTGACAAAGCCCTGGCTGGGATGGTTTAATTATGGTTGATCCTGCTTTGGGCAGGGGGCTGGACTTCTATAATGGAGATTGCCTATCTCCTAGAACTGGAAAGGACCTTGAAAGGTCATTGAGTCCAGTCCCCTGTCTTCACAGCAGGACCAAGTACCATCCCCAACACATTTTTGCTCCAAATGGCCTCCACAAGGATTGAACTCACAACCCTGGGTTTAGCAGGCCAATGCTTAAACCACTGAGCTATCCCTCCCCCTCTGATGAACTCCAGAAGTCTCTTACGGTCCTATGATTCTAATATAGTTTTTGTCTGTGAATTAAAATAGACATTATACTCCTCCCTACAGAAAGAGGAAAGTTATGCTTTCTCTTTGACTTGATCAGCTTGATCTTATTAAGTAAACAACACAAACACAAAAGAAGGGTCACCACTTAAGAGCTTCAACTCTCTTTCTCTGGCGTAGTGCACCTTCCCTCCCCCAAATGGCAATTACTTCTGCAGCAAGGAAGTAATTTTCTCCATTTAAAAGTTCAGTACACGTACAAGACAAACAATAAAAACAGTGAGTAGTCCTGCAGCATCTTAGGCTACATCTAGACTGCAGCACTTTTCTGGGATACCAGAGATATCATGGAAAAGCACTGCCACATTCAAGGAATGCTCGCGCTTTTCCACAAAAAAAAATTTTTTTTTCAGAAAAGCAGATGCATTCTTTCACCATCTCTGTAAACCTCGTTTCATGAGGGAAAAGAGGTGTGCTGATAGAGGAGGTTTTTCTGAAATTTGTCCCTCTGCACACTCGCCAAATTTCAGAAAAGCCTCTTTCGGAAGAAAAGTGGAAAAAGATACACAAATTGCAGTTTATAATTTGTGTATCTTTTTCCAACTTTTCTTTGTAGTGTAGTCATAGAGACTAACATATGTATATTTATAGTATCATGAGCTTTCATGGGCAAAGCCTACTTCCTCAGATGAGCTTGAATGTAGAAAAAAGGGGGACACCCTCACAATTTATAACAAAAAAAGAAGAGAGAGGGAAAAATACCTGTCAATTATAGTGCTGGTGCTAATGAGGCCAATTACCTGCCCCAGGTCACCACCAAAATTCTCTGTACCCCCTCTCCCCACCTCCTCCATGTCACAACTCCTTCCCCGACCCTGAACTTCCTCCTTCCTCACACTTCTTCATTTTTTTTCCTATTTATATGGCTATAAAACCTTTTACTATTGGTTTTAATTCCCTTTGCAAGGTCCAATTCTACATGACTTTTAGCCTGTCTCACATGCTCTAACTTCATGCTCTAACATCAATAAGGTAGCTTTTTTTGCTGGTCCCTCCCATCTTCCACTCCTTATATGCTTTCTGCTTTTTCTTAATCACCTCTCTGAGATGCTTGCTCATCCAGCTTGGTCCAACACACCTGCCTATAAATTTTTTCCCCCTTTCTTGGGATACAGGCTTCTGATAGCTTCTGCAACTTTAACTTAAAATAATCCCAGGCCTCCTCCGCCTTTAGATCCATAAATTCTTTAGTTCAATCCACTTCCCTAACTAATTTCCTTAATTTATTAAAATTAGCCCTTTTGAAATTAAAAACCCTAGTCTCAGATTTATTTTTGTTTATCCTTCCATTCAGTTTGAACTGAATTAGCTCACGATCGCTCGAGCCAAGGTTGTCCCCTACAACCATTTCTTCTATGAGGTCCTCACTACTCACCAAAACCAAATCTAAAATGGCATCCCCCCCTTGTTGGTTCAGCAACTACTTGATGAAGGAATTCATCAGCTATTGTATCTAGGAAAATCTGAGCCCTATTATTATTACTAGCACTTGTTCTCCAGTCTATATCTGGAAAGTTGAGTCTCCCATGATTACGCAGTTTCCATTAGTATTTACTGCATTAAAACATTAAAGAGGTCTCTATCCATATCCAAATTAGATCCCGGTGGTCTATAGCACACCCCAACCACTATCCCAGGGGAGGATCTGATAGTTTTCTTCCCCAATGTGATTTTTGCCCAGACAGACTCTGTCTTCTCCATTCCATCACTTTTTATTTCTTTACAATCTACCTCATCATTGATATACAGTGCTACTCCGCCACCTTTACCCTTATTTCTATCTTTCCTAATCAGAACATACCCTTCAATACCTGTACTCCAGTCATGCCTAGTATTCTACCATGTTTCTGTTATTCCTATAATATCTGGTTTCACTTCCTGGACCAGTAGCTCTAGTTCCTCCATTTTGTTACCTAGGCT